ACTACTAAACGGACAATGAAGATACAGTCCGTTGCTTTATTGGCCAAAAGCGACGAAAATGCGATGCATTTACTTCAGTCGCTTTTTGGCACGACGCTTTTCAAAAAGTGACGGACATTGTCGCTAAAAACCTATGAAATGCGTCGCATTTGATTATTTATTTTTAAAAAAGCGACGAACTCTGTCGCTATATTTTAATTTTTTAAAAATAAAAATTCCAAAAGGCGATACAGTCCGTCGCTTTTTTGGAAATTCAATTTTTTGAAAATCCCATAAAATCGACTGACAAAAAGACATTGTCCGTCTCTTTTCTAGGTTTTAAATTTTTTTAAAACCTAGAAAAGTGACGGACTAAACTACACTAGAGGTGACAAATGGTCGGATTGGATTGGTTTTGCATGGTTGAATATGATTTGAGATAAAATGGGTTGAATCATAATCCATCCAAATATAATATGGTCAAATATGGATTTGGTCAAAATGGTTCTAACTCATTTAACCAAATTTGTTTTTCAAAAACATAAATGTACCCTGGGGCACCCCCCCCCCCCTCCACCTTTCACCAACCTACCCCTAAAAAAATATTTTTCAACAATAAAAAAATATCTGTTTTTCAAAAAAAAATAAAAAATTAACCCGCCCCTGGCAACCCCCTGCCCCCCACCCCACTTCCACCAACATACCCTATTTTTTTTATAAAAAAAAAAAAATCTATTTTTACAAAAAAAAAAATATTTTACCCTCTCCTCCCGGACATTCTCTGCTCCCAACCCCTACTCCACCCAACTTCCACCAACCTACCTCTAATTTTTTTTTTATTGAATGAAAGTGAGAATAAGTGATCTAATATGTATCAAATGGGTACCCATATTAAACCCATTTTTACCATATTTGAAGAAACTTATAAAATAGCTTGAAGCCCATATTTGATCAATTATAATATTAGCGATCCAAGTCATTATATATGATCAAAATGGGCTCATTTTATTAATATGGACTGAAATTGTCACCCCTAAACCACACTGTCCGTCACTTTTTTGGATTTTAAAAATAATTAGAACCCAGAAAAGTTTAGTCCGTCGTTTTTCTGGGTTTTAAAAAAATTAAAACCCAAAAGCGACGAACTAAACAACGTTGCCCGTCGCTTTTTTTCCATTTTTTTGACAACAAATTCTATCAGCTGCTGCCCACCTGTAAATTCAATCCAATTCAATTTTATACTATTTTGCACACAAACACACATAATTATATAAACAATCTACACAACATAAAATAAAAAGCTTAAATAACATTCAAAAGCATCTAAAGCAAAATTTAAAGACTTATAAAGTCTTTCAAAATTCGTTTCAAATAAATCATAAATGTCTAGATATTTTATCTAGGGAGTGGGGTCTAATAATCATCCCCATCACTCTCGTTGTCAGTGTCATGGGGAGCCGAAGTAGCAGGTCGACAAGCAAGGTTATCACTTTTTTATTTGCTGAATGGTCGCATTCAAGCTTTCTTGTTCAGCTACTCTTCTCCGCTCCGACTGTGTCAGTGCTGGTGTAAATTTAGCTATTTGATCTGACATAACAGGAATCTAAACACCGTCAAATGTCTCCACTTGAATTGACGGTCCAATCCTTCTAAGTTGATTGGAGTACGTCTTACATCGTGTCGACAGCCTAGACCTTAGACTCTAACCTTCTGTGTCCCCCACCACCACCACTACTTTTTCTTTCCAAATCTAGGTGAAAAGTTCAGGTGTTATTTGAACCGAACAATCTACATTTTCAGCAACATACTCCTGAAACTCATTTTGCATATTAAATATAAAAATTGACATCAATATATATACATATCGTAAGTATATTCACTATTACATATATTATTCATATTAAATTACTTACAAAAGTTCATCCGTCTCTTTCCTCCGTCCACACATCTAGATCCCACTCATTTTCTTTGGTCCTGACATGAGTCTTCTTGAAAACCTCCGGTGTAATAGGAGTGCATCTCAATGTTTTTTCCTATAAATAAAAAACTGGAATTTATAACGAGTAATTTACCTAGTGTAATATATAGCCATGAAATTATTAGCTACAAAATTCATCATAAATTGTTCACTTTTAATGACAAAAATTATATTTTATGCTTAAATACATGAGTTACATACTTTTAATGATGAAACATAAATATTTATAGAAAAAATTTTGTCCACTGCAATTTTCCATCAAAAAATAAATTGACGCCATTAGTACCCATTAATTCAAAGCTTTCTGTGACAAATTATTTTGTCAATTATGATGTTCTCAATTAATGACAGTCATTTTAATCATAAATTTAATTAAATTTTGGATATGGAAAACTTTTGTCGCTAAAAATATAGTAATACATTAGTGACAAACTATTTTTATCCTAAAATTAGATAAGTTTTTAATACAAAATTATTTTGTCACAGAAAATTTATTGATACATTAAAAACATAAAATTTCTTTCCTAAAATTAGTTAAATTTTAATACCAAGTTTATATATATATAGAAAATATATTGATAAATTAAAAACACATAAAAGTGACTCGTGTCAGTGCTATAAAATTTTCAATTCTAAAAATTTAATTTGTGGTAGTCATTTTTCCAATTTCAATTTTATTTTTTTTAAAGAAAATGTTAGACATATAGTTGTTAGGATTAGGGATAAACTGTTTCGTTCTTTTTTTTAATCTTAAATATAATTAATTGTAGCTTTATTAATTACATTTATTTAACCATATAAAAACTTATATTCATTAAATTATTTTAAAATATTGTATTTATTTGAAAAATAAATTTACTTGAAAAATAAATAATCAACATTTTTATTAATTTCTTAATAATGCAATCAATAATAACAAGAAAAAATTTAAATATAAACTGTTAATTTGTTTAAATGTGAAAGTTGAGAGTTTAAAATTTATTTTAAATTAATAAAATTTGTCAATTAAGTTTTTTTATTTAAATGTAAAAATAATAAAAATTCAAGTAGTTGCAACTAAATTTCCATCAAATTCATCAAATTTTGCTAAGAGACCAGTTTGAGTTTATTTTAAATTAAATTAAAAAATATAAATATATTGCAACTATTCATGCAAAATAAAAGGAAAACAAGCAGAGTAACTTCTCCGCAAAATTATCTTCTTCTGATAAACTATAAAACTTCATTTTCATTTTCATATCAAATTGAGAAAACTACTGTGTTATTTTGATAAAGAAGGTAAGTTTATTTCTTTCATAGATTATATCATATTTTTTTATTCAATTTTGAAATTTATAGATCACAAGTTAAAAAATTGAAATTTGTTACCTAATTTTATGTTCTATTTGTTTTGAAATTTTAATTTTCTTTTTGATTTGATATTTCTTCTTGACAATTTTAACTTTTTCTTTGTTGTAGATTTGATATTCTCTAACAATTTCATCTATAATGGTTAAAATTTCGATTTACTCTATTTGCTATTTCACATAAAAGTGTAATAATTAACGTAACAAAACAATAGATAACTTTCCAATTTTGCATTTATTTTCTTTTAAAAAATAGTCATTTTTACATCAATCTCTAATAAAATATTGAAACTGATCAACGATATATTTGAACTATAAATAAAATAGTAAATGTAAAAGTTAGTTAAAACATCATTATAAAAAAAATGATTAAAGAAAAGAATGATAATGTATAAAGAAATCTAGATAGTTTCGTATAATTTTCTTCCTCTATTTAAAAAATAATGTTCATATTTTCTTTTTAGTTTGTTCCAAAAAAAAAAATCCCTTTCCTTTTTTGACAATACTTGAATTTAACTTTCCACATGACATGTTTAATACTACAAAATTAAAGGATATTTTAGTACATTTGATATAATTTTAATTTAGAACCTCAATAATAAAAGTTTTTTTTTAAAAACTCCATTCTAAATTAAACTAAACAATTCTTTTTAAAACGGAGAGAGTAATTATTATTACTTAATGTCAAAGATTCTAAAATATTATAAAACTTCATAATTCAAAGTATTTTAATTTATTCAAAATTTAGCAATATCTTTACTAGGAGAGAAAAATAAAATTATTATAAAATAAAATAAAATAAAATTTATTACTGAATAAAGAAAGATAATTTAAATTTTTATAATAAAGACAAAAGTTTCAAACATTCAACAAAAAATATATGTGATATATATATATATATGTTATAAAAAAATAAATATATTCAGACATTACAACAAGGACAAATTGACTTCTGTTCATCGTAAAAATGTATTATTGTGTTATATAAACTTTTTTATTTCTTTTATTTATTGTATGTAGTTTGTTTGGTTGTTTATAGTGCGTAAATAAAATGTAATTAAATAAAAAAATTGCTTATATGTAAAATCAAGAAATTGCTTCATTGTGTGTATTTAATTAGTTTTAATAATAAATATGATTTGTATTTAATTAATTATGTATTATTATATATTTTCATACTTTTATTAAATATTAAATAATAATTAATAATTAAAATTTAATAAATTTTTCCATTAATAATTTGACTTGAATCAAAATTTGTAAATAATATTTTTGAAATTTGTGATTTTGAATTATATATTTTTGAAATTTGTGATTTTGAATTGAAATATAATTTTTTTAATAAGACAAAATTGCTTTATAATATCTTAACATAAATATATTATAACATAAAAAATGTAGTTGATCATAACTATTAAAATAATATTATAACGAAAAAGTTAAATATATTAAATAAATTTCATAATTTTTTTTGTGACATTTTAAATATTCACGTCACAAGTACAAATAATAGTTGGTAATAATAATAATGACCAAGTAATTTTGATTTATAAAAAGCCACTTCAATATATTGACAAAGAGATGAAAAGAAAAGTGAAAGAAAATAGTTATCCCTTTCCCCTCTTTCTTCTTGCATTAACATTTATATTAGTTGTATGTATAATACAATCTTTTATGTTAGGTTTTTCTTCACTAGTTATTATTTTATATGGAACTTTGACCTTAGTTGCCACTTTTTTTTTTAAAGAGTTGGTTGATACTTTTCCCTCTATTTTGCTCATCACAGCATCCACGAACACTTGATTTGACTGGCCAGCCATTGCCCCAACTCCCTCTCTTCTCTTCACCTAATCAAACCCAAAGACTTTTTCTTCTTCTTGTCAACTAACACTTCACATTTGTATATTAATCAGTCAACACGACGTTTCTCCGGTTGCTTTATCACCGAAATAATCATCCATAATTGCTTCTACAGTTGTTAAACCATTAATAATAGCGGTTTAACGAATTTCATGGAGAACAGTAGTAACAAAGAGACGGCGATGAGACTTAGAGAGGTGGCCGAAGGAGCAGTAAAGGCGATTGGGTTAGGGTTTGATATAGTGGATGATTTGAGGTTGAAGTTTTGTAAGGATTATCAGTTGATCTCTGTTGACCATGATCAGGTGCGAGACATTTCAATTCCTGGTGGAATTTTGGTTCAAAATGTTCCCAAATCTATCAATTGCGATAAAGGCGAACGCATGAGATTTACTTCTGATATTCTCTCTTTCTCCCAGGTATCTTTTTGCAATTTCTTTCTTATTATATATCTTACCTTTGAGTGTAGAGCTGCTCCTTTTAAGTTTGCCAAAATTAAATCGTCTTGAACTCCATCTGAAAAAATCATGAATATTTATCTGATTTTTATGTAATTTCTATATAGTTGTGGTTTAGTGTCAAAATCTTTTTGGTCAATCTTGTAGAATCAATGAGTTGTTCCTGCTGTATTCCCAATTTAGAACTCATGAATTTGTGATTTCCGGGGATAAGGTCCGCTGAACTTTGAGACATGGTCCAAATGCCATCTGTTAATATATTTGGGGCCAAATATACCACTACTCTTACAAGATTGAATCAAATATGCCATTATACAAAGGCAAAAACTGGACCATGACAAATTTGAACCTTTTTTGTTTCGGAAAAAGCGTCGTGTCGAAATGCTTTTTGTCATTAGTGAATAATGGCATATTTTGACAGATCATGTAACCATACAATATATTTCACCTCAACTATTTACGGATGGTAGCCATTTCACAAATTTTAGTGACAAATCTGGACCTTTTCACTAGTCTACTCCCTCTATTTCCTCTTTATGATATTAAGGTGATTAACCAGGAAGCTTATAAAGAAAGCTATTTTAACTTATTCTCGCGATAATGGAAGAAAAATATTAAATTAATAAAGTGACAAGTTGATGGGGAAAAATTACATCAGAACTTCAAAAGTTGAATAGATTAATGGATTTGAAGTTTTGGAAGTTGCAAAAGTAGTATAAAAATGGAAATGTTGTATTGCAATAGAGGGAGATTAGTGCTTCACCATGAGATAGGATAGTTTCTTTTGCAGTATAGGCAATGGAGGGTCTCAACAAGAGAAAGGGAAGAAGGGGATGCTGGAAATCAAGGGAATTTGGCAATCAATGAATCTGAGGCAAGTCTCCGTTTAATGTTCATTAGTTATTTTAAAAGGGGTGAGAAAATATATGCATGTTGAGAGATGGGGAGAAATGGTTCGGAGTTGATAAAAATGCATGAAGTATAAGTTTGAGCAAACCTCTCTGAGATTGTCTGAAACCGAGCTCACAATCTTCCAAAATCTAGTTTTGAAGTCCAAGTTTGAAATTAAATTAAAATATTCCTAGGTGTATCTCCTTAATGGCAAACACATCTCATAGTCAACCTAGACCTATCGCATACTTGACATCCCACCCCCAAACGCCACCCAAATCCGGACCCCTCTCCTTCTTCCCGATTATGACCCTTACCTCGCAAATGCAAAGGTCAACATTTTCATCCTTCATGAATGGGACCAGAGCCTCAAAAATCTGAAGAAGGAACTCAACTTCACCGGATGACAATAGTTCAACTAAGGCGAAAATCAACCGAAACTCTGAATGAACCCTCAAAAATCATTCGGAACCTAACAAAGACAAATCAAATTTGCAAATGGTCTAAAATTTTGTTCTGGACCTGTGAATCATCTAATGACCGATCCTAGTCATCTTGATTAAAAGTTGACCATGGTCAAACCTTACTTTCCCAAAACTCAAGAATCTACCCAAAGATTCAAAGCAATCCTCAACACCTCGAGATCCATGCAAAATACTTAACAAAGTCAAAAATCACCTTCTGGACCTAGCAAAACTCACAACTTGAATCTGACCTTGTTAGCCTAAAATACAATGTTGACTTTTGTCAAACTTCAAAACTCAGAATCTCATCCAATATTCATCTGATCACCTCAAAATTCATGCTACCCATCCCGCTAGTCACAAAATGATATACAGAAGCTAGGGAAGTGTTAAAACATGGACAACACTCAGAAAACTCAAAACGACTATGAGGGTTGTTACATTTACTTGAATTAAATGAGACCTAGTGACTTTAGTAGTTTAAAAAGATCATTATAAATTAAAGATATATGAATATTTTCAGTTTTTAAGAACCTTATAGTAAATAAAGAGCCATAAAATGCTGAGGTGCGTTCGAATCAGTATCATATTACTTTAGCACAACAAATTATGTTGCTTATTATGTAAAATCTCATGGTGTCCCATGCAGTTTTATAAAGCATTGATTTCCATATGCAATAACACAACAATATAGTACATGAGATAGAAGAGGATGCTTAGCAACCTTAGCTTTGTGAAGGTTTTCTGCTCCTTGTAATCAGTTCATTGAGGTTTGAATAATCATTTTTAGGTTTTTGCTATGCATATAGTTGTTAATTCTTAATTGGTTCGGGTTTTTTTGGGTGATCCGGGTACTGAAATGAGTGTGGAATGTCGCACCTCTAGTACTTATGTGGGCTGTTTTGACAGAGAAATAAGATAGCTTTTGAGGTGTAGAAATGAATTTCGTACAGCTAACAAGTAGTCCTTTGCTCCTTATTTCCTTTTGATGCACCCATGATATTCCTTTTTAAATAGATGATTGGGTGTCTTTCTTGAAAAACCTATCACTTTGTAGGTTTTCTACTTTTGGTATACTCCTTGTATCCTGGTGCTTACTTTGCCCACATATTAAATACTTTTATTATTTTTATCAAAAAAAGTTGTGAATATAGGGTATCCATTCACTTCCTTGGTGCCTTTACCTTCATGTTATTAACCCTTTTACTGAAAGAAAAAAAAAAGGATTTTGTGAGGTGAGGAAGAGTAAATTTCTACTGAAAAGATGATATAATTATGATTAAAAAGTTTTGATTTGGAGTTCAATTTTAATTTTCCTAAGACATTACCTTTATCCTTTTAGATGTCCGAGCGATTTAATCAGGACCTATCCCTTTCTGGTAAGATTCCATCGGGCCATTTCAATGCTGCTTTTGAATATACCACTTGTTGGCAAAAAGACGCTGCCTACACGAAAGCTCTTGCTTTTGATGGGGTCTTCATAACACTCTATAACATTGCATTAGAGAAGGCTCAAGTTGTACTGCGTGATCATGTTAAACAAGCAATTCCTTCATCTTGGGATCCAGTAGCATTGACAAGGTGAGAAGCGGTTTGCATTTAATTCTTTTAAATCCTCCAGGTGTAGGTAACCTCTTCCATTAAATCATTGCTCATGTTTTTCTACCTACATTTTTGATGGTTGTGTTTTCCTCTTTTCTTTTTATTTGGTTTACAAACTGTAATGCATCGATGAACAAATGAGATAGAGCTTGCTCATAAGAAGTCGTAAGCATGTCGGGACCCTTTTATTTCTGAATTTTCTGGTACTCAGCTTCTTAAATACCTCCAATCTTATATATCTTCGTTGTGGAGATTTTTGTTGGGTTCCTTGGGAGGTTCTTGAATATAGCAAGTTGATAATTTCCAAGGCATTCATGGAAGTTATTCCCCTATTCTAGAGCTGTGCATGTATAAGTAGAAGGAAGATCCTTTAATGCACCTAATGACAGTGTATTTATAATAACAGAGCTTTTTACCCGCAAAGAATGTTTCCACACCAGTAATTATCTTGTCGATCAACTGATGAGATGCCAAGGGCCAAGGACTGGGAGACTGCTAATATTTTACTGTCATAGTGAGCCTCTGGAGTGACATTGTGCCCTGCAAAAGATGCATTCCCTCAAAACTAGTTGCTTTGTAATTCTTTTTTGCTGGAACAACATTGTTACTGTTAATAGTATTGATAAATTGTTGAATTCATTAGCTCTCTAGTCGTAGTGTAGTTTCTACACATGTATTTGAACTAAGTTTTGCACATTAAACACATCGCATCTGCTTGATGCTTTATTAATGGAACACCTTACTTCATCAACATAATAAAAATATATATTGTGGCCTGCAATTTGATGATAAATCATACAGAAAAGGGTCTAAAATACCCTTGAAGTATTAGAAATGGTACAAAACTACCCTCCATCCACCTATTGGCTCCAAAATACCCTTGCCACTCACTTATTGGCTCCAAAATACCCTTGTCATCCACCTTTGGATTCAAAAGTGACCACTTATTTAACGATTTTAAAAACTATTTAAATATTTTTTTAAATACGTGACGCTCAACTATTTCTTATAATTAAATTATTAATATAAATTTATAAATCAAACCACTACCCACCCATTGCTAATTAAACTCCACCCAATTAATTAACTCGCCCTATTACTAATGCAGCAACAGGAAAGCTACTGCCAATGAATGTTTCTAAAAATTTGAGGCGTAAATGTCTATAGAACTACGTTATCATACATTCAATTCATCAATCAAAACATATTATAATTCAAGTGTCTAAATAAAAATTATCAATAAACTTAAAAGTCTGACTATGTTCATCTTAATTATTCCTTCGTCTCAATTATGTGATGTTACTACTTAGATAATTTTTTTTTAAAATAATATATTATAGTTTTAATAGTTAAAACAAATCATAAATATTTATAAAATTTTGTAGAAAAAAGTACATGAATTAATTCGGGATGTACTACTTCATTACCTTTAATCATGATTTCGAATTCAAATTTGAAAGTGTCCTTCTAGATAAGCGGCTCAACCTAAATTTTTATTGGGGGTTGGACTCGAATAATTTTGGATGTCTTTTTCAGGAATATGTAATTTCGTTGTGTTTTAGTAGTATTTAGGGAGATTTTGATATTAGAATTGCTTTATTAATTGGGTGGGGTTTAATTAGTAATTAGTGGGTTGGTTTATAAATTATATTAATAAATTAAATTATAACGAATAGTTGAGCGCCATGTATTTAATAATATTTAAACAATTTAAATTTAAAATCGTTAAAAAGTGGTCAATTTTGAACACAAAGGTGGATTACAAGGGTATTTTGGAGCCAATAGGTGGAATGGAAGGACATTTTTGAGCCAATAGATGGATAGAGGGTAGTTTTGTACCATTTCCAATACTTCAAGGATATTTTAGGTCCTTTTCCGTAAATCAAATTACCTAGTCACATACTCAACATCAATTCTTAGACTTACATCAATGTTGGAGACGATTTTAATTTCCAGGTTTATTGAGAAATATGGTACCCATGTTATTGTTGGTGTAAAGATGGGTGGAAAGGATGTTGTATATGTCAAACAGCAATATTCTTCAACACTTCAGCCTGCTGATATACAGAAAAGGTTGAAAGAAGTGGCAGACGAAAGATTTGGCAATGCAAATGTACAATCCAGCACTACTTTGGTGAGTACATATGGGTGAATGGTTTCTGATGTCCACTCTCTCTCTCTCTCACACACACAGACAGTGGTCCAAAATGTTGGATCACATTTCCTTGCAATTTTTTTTTTCTCCAGCCTTAGCATTTTATGTTAAATCTAAAAATAGTCTGTTTTCTCTACGCTTATTAGTATCTTTATTTAGCTTTTGATAACAAGTTATAATAGCATTGTATCTTGCAATCTGAAGATCATGGTTGTTTCTGGAAACTTCAACAAAGCTGGCTCGACCTGCTTATCCTGATCACATGCTTTGCTTCTTTCAAATTTTTTACTGGTGATGATTGACTCTTTACTTCAAGTTATCTGAGTATCAATTGGGCACATTGAAATTTGGTTCATCTATATTTTGCTTGTACAGCAACCAAATTCTCGTTTTTTGTTGCTTATTTGGTAAAGTTCCTCTGTTTGAGCGTATTATCTAGGTGCATACTTTTTTCAGTGTATGCAGTTAGAGATTTTTACTTCCATACCACTACATCTCCCATACCCAATTGAAAAAAAAAAGAGCGGGTACTGGTTTTACCGAATAACAGAGATGTATGTAAATAGTCTAGATTCTAATAAAAGTAAATGACACCATGGAGAAGAAAATAATGTGTAAATTCCTCTGTTGTAAATTAGCAAAATAGTTCTACATCTTTATGGTAATTCAACCCTTGCTTGGTCTTCAGATTATAAATATAATCCTCGCAAGCTATATTGTTTTGCTTCCGATTTACTTCCTAAAAGTTCGATCCTCCTCCTCCTGAATATATACTTTTGTGAAAAGTTTATCGCTAACTATTCCTTTATCAGCTGATATTATTTTTCTTAACAGTGTCACTTTTATATGATTTAATACTGTGTATGAATGACAATTTTGTACTTGACAGTGCAGAAGTGCCTCAACTTCCCTTCTGCTCTTGGTGCCATTGCAATGAGAATGAACTTGTGAAACTTAGAATCATTAGTATTCTTTGTATGCGAGAGACACTTCTATACTGTTTGGCTTTCTTTTCTTAAATAGATTTTGTCACTTAAATGTTGTCTCTTTTTATCCAGGCTTTTAGGTTCTTAGAGTTTTAGCAGATGGACCATTTTTCTTAAAATTGTTGGTACTTTTCAAGAAAAGGATTATTGTGGAGTTGTGTTAGCCTCGCAATTAACAAAACCAGAAGCATGTTGTGATTTTTTACTTTTAACACTTTGGCTTCACTGCTTTCAGCTAGCTAATAGTGAACAACAGCTGCCCTTTATGGATTCAACTTCATCAACAGTTCATCTTCACAAAGAGGTAACAGGTCTTCTGAATACTAGTAAACAAAGTTTCTTCATCCTTAAAGTTTATAGTTGCTTGGCCAGTTTCTGGTTGAAGATGTTTTATTAACTCTCGACTGTGATTTGTTATGGATAATCCCAGGTTAATCCAGTAAAAGGCAACAACATACCAGTATAATCCCACAAAGTAGGGTATGGGAAGAGTAGAGTGTACTTTAGGGATGGCAATGCGTGGTGTGGGTTATAGTATTTGCGGGGCAGTACGATTAGAGCTTTTGCAGGGCGGATATAGAATGTTTTTGGAGAAGAACACGTGGGCCGGTGTGGGTACGCAGGTTGTTTTTTTTTCTTTTTGATCTAAGATAAAGGGAAAATTCTATGGAACACAATCAGGGTAAAACACCTCTTTCATTAGTCACTTCTCTCTCTTGTAATATAAAATAAGGGTTTATACATTTTTGGGCTTCTAGTGTAAGTAAGTGTTGTCTGCTTCTAGTTTGAGGAGGGTTTATTAGTCAGTCAAACTGATTTTTCAACCTTTTTCTTTTGTATATGAAGAACATCCACTGAACTACTGTGGTTTGACTCTGCTCTTTTGGAGATCAAAACTTTCATTTTAGCTCTTATTTAGGTTTTCTGATTGCTCTGATTTTCGCTTTGTTGCCATCAGTGAAACCCTTAACTGCCTTTTCATACTCTGGTTGGGTGGATATTTCATTTCTTCCTTCCATTTCCAGTTTGATATTCAAGTTTCTTTCTGTTTCTTCATATTCAATATTGTATTAATATTTGGTTGTCCATAACCTTCTCATTTCCTTTACCAATCCCTACTTTTATCTCTTCTTTTTGACATCAGGATTTTACATTCCTCTGGGGGAGGAGAGGTGGAAGCCGTATCAGAAATATCCCACATAAAAGGTGGTGCCAAACTGTTCCAGTTGAACCAGACGTGATTTCAGTGTCATTAATTCCAATATCATCATTATTGAGCGGGATTGATGGCAGTGGTTTTTTGAGCCATGCGATTAACTTGTACATGCGTTGTGAGTATTGTATATCTTTTGTATAATATGTGCTGCTGTTTCCTGATTCATCTTAACCAAAAAGACTTTGCTGCTTGCCTCTTAAGTGTATAGCTAAATCTTTGTTTGGCTTTAAATGATAGAAAGATATGTCTAAATAAATACAAAATAGAGTTAAATAAAGGAATGTAGCAAAACCCTGAATTGGCCAAAAGTGTAGTTAATATTTGGACACATTAATTAGTTAGACTATTATGGAGGAAACTCAATTCCAAATTATCACAATTCATAAATCCATTAATCTACAACTCCTGACATTACTAGAAACAAGATTACTCTTGTGAACTTATGGCTGTAGATGTTTAAGAATATAAGCTTTAAGGGCTTCTAGGGGAGGCGAATATCATGATTTGAGTGTTTTTGCACAGGAACCATCTTTTAGATATTCGTGCAAAAGTGCAAAACTCAAAAGTGACTTTCACGTTGTATATGGCATACAGATAAACCACCAATTGAAGAGCTTTATCAGTTTTTGGAGTTCCAGCTTCCAAGGCAATGGGGACCAGTGTTCGGTGAACTTCCTCTTGGTCCAGAGAGGAAGCAGCAAAGTGGTGCAACTCTGAAGTTTAGTCTAATGGGACCCAAGTTATATGTTAATACAAATCTGGTAATCTCCAGCTTTACTCATCTATTACTTGGGAAGCTATGTTAACTTCATGAATTATTTTGATGAATTTTCATTTTTAAAATGTTTTACATCAAATCCTGTTTCTGATCTGTGTTAGAATTTATCAGATCATAGAAAAACAATGTTTACAGATTACCAGGTTTCATGAAATACTCTTTCATTGAACTGTTTCTTACGATGCTCTTTGATACTTATTACCAGCTGGGAAGTTATTCCATCTGTCAAAGGAGTTTGTAGTAGATTCTTTGTTTTCTTTTTTCAAAGTGAATCATATGTTTATATATTTTGATATGAGGCTATATCATGCAAATGCTAAACTATGTTAGAGAAAAGGCTGATGTAAAGCATACGACAGAAGAAGAGGGTAAACATAGTAAATGCACACAGTTGAAACATTGCTCTATGGATTGGATTATGGAATTGCAAAAATTAATGATAAATATAGGTACCTACTTGAACAGGCATTAAATTGCTCAGTTCTTGCTTATTCATGGTCTTGTTGCAGTATTGTATGAGAAAATAAATTTTGCAAACGAACTTCTTTCACCCTCAAAAGTTCAATGGTGCCTTACGCCATGTATTTATCAACTGTTTGTGTTATTTGTAACCCACCCTTCTTTGACTCCACCTTCTAATCACTTCTTTAATAGAACCAATAAAGAGTGGAATAAGCAGTTCATTTGGAGCTGCAGTTGAAATAAGTGATGCAGGATAGAATAGGAGTGTTGGGCATTCAAGAACTCTCACGTTCTGAAGATGAAAGATGTGGAAATGAGTATGTTGTGATGGCTGTATGGGCATAGTAGGAGAGACAAGATTAGAAATGAGATATTCAAGATAAGATGGGAATGGCTTCGGTGGAGGACAAGATGCGGAAAGCGAGACTGTGATGGTTAGAGCATGTGAAAAGGAGATGTTTACCCTGTAGAGGTGTGAGAGGTTGGCTATGGATGGTTTTAGGAGAGGTAGAGGCAGGCCGAAGAAATTATGGGGAGAGGAGATTAGACAGGACATGACATTAATTTAGTTTACCGAGGACATTACCTTAGATAGGAGGTTATGGAGGACACAAGTTAGGGCAGGAGGTTGGTAGGTGGTAGTGAATTGTCTTGCTATTTATTCATAATAGTAGTCTTAGTATTACTCCTATAGTTTTATTGTCCTTCGATTTCTATTACGATATGATATTTCTTGTACTTCGATGATTGTATTATTCTGTTGTAGTTATTGTTTAGAATGCTTCGTTATGCTTGCACTTTTGGTGATTCTCTTTTTGGACTATTTTTCTTATTTCTTCTTGAGCCGAGGTCTATCGGAAACAATCTCTGAGGTAGGCATAAGGTCAACCTTTCTCAGACCCCACTTTGTGGGATTACACAGGGTTTGTTGTTGTTTGTATTGTTCATCAGTTATCAAAAAATACTTTGCATCAAGCTCCCCAATAACCCTATGAGAAGATGAAACGTATCTTTTCCTACCTGCTTAATTTAGAAAATATAAGGATCCTTCCTGTTACTAACATACAAAGCAACAACTTTATTAGGTTCTTTTCTATCTTTAAATTGTTAGGCTCTGAGGTAGGACTCTATTCAGCTCTTTGCATTAAAACTCAACTTTAATGGAGCGCTGCTATCAGTGCCTTCATTGTCAATATCTACTGATTCGGAGACTTGTGTTCCATTCTAAGTGGTGTTTCTGCTGCTGAGATGATTAATCAATATACTACTGGTCAAATTACTCATGTGGCCTTGCGTCGTAGAATGCAAGTATTTCTAGTGTATGGTTGTGTCTCCAGGAGCCTGCCTTATTTCAGGTTTGCATTTTGTGATCACATTCTGTTTCATCCTATCCAGATTTTGGGGACTTATTCTATGCATGCCAAGCTTCCCTAGTATGCTTCAGTTTGACACTAGCTTAACTATGAACAGCCTTTTGGAGATGGTTCTGAGGACTAGTATGTGAATTTTGTACATTATGATGATAAACGGCTGTGTAGTCTTTATTGTAGTTTCACACCCTTCTAATTCTCTTTTTGGGGGGAACGAGGACTGAGAGGGATCGTGAGAAGCACAATGGGATCGACAATTACATTTTTCTCTACTTTCCATGATTAAATTGTGTTGATAGATGGTCTATACATTTTGCTTCTTCTTACATTTGTGACTTTTTTTGAACGATAGTTGCCTAAAGTACAGCCAATCAATGCTTAGTATGTTGACATTTTCTCTGTCTATTTTTTTTTTTTTAAAAAATGAAGTTCTCCTTGGCTGTACCATTTTAATAGGTGGATCTGGATAAACCAGTGACCGGTCTCCGATTGTATTTGGAAGGAAAAAGAAACAATTGCTTAGCAATCCATTTGCAGCACCTTTCATCCTTGCCAAAAAGCCTTCAGCTTCAAAATGAATCATATGGCTATGCGAGTAGCTCCTCTGACCAAAGGTATCATGAGAAAGTCCAATGGAAAAGTTTTTCACATGTATGCACCGCACCCATAGAATCTGATGATCTCTCCATTGTCACGGGGGCCCAATTTGAAGTTAGAGAATCTGGTCTGAGAAATGTTCTTTTTTTACGCCTTCAGTTTTCTAAAGTCATTGGTGCCACTGTCATAAAGAGAGCTGAATGGGATGGTTCTCCTGTTATCACTGAAAAATCTGGAATCATCTCAACTATAAGTTCTCATTTTTCCTCGGCTCAAAAGCCACCTCCACGACCATCTGAAGTTCACATAAATTCTGCACTTTATCCTGATGGACCTCCAATGTCAGCACAAACCCGAAGACTCTTGAAGTTTGTGGATACGACAGAGATGATGAGAGGACCCCAGGATCAACCTGGGTATTGGATGGTGACCGGGGCTAGGCTTGTAGTGGACAAGGCTAAGATTTCTCTTCGTGTTAAGTTCTCTTTACTAGCTGTTGTCTTGCCAGATGAAGAGGAGTCATTCCAAGGCTAATGTATAGGGGGAGAAAAAGAAGCAAAACAAATTGCTTAGCATTTTTGCTATTATGTATGTATCTGTAAAAATAAATAATAGGATTTTGAAAACTTCTCTTGTATGAATGCGCAGCCTGAAAAAAAGAAAGAAAGAAAGAAAATGGAAAATTTCTGTCTAGTGTGGCAATTAAATTAGTTTGTCTAGTCTATTTCGTATTTACAATGATTTTTGGCTTCTTAACTTGACCTTAGGAAAAATTCCAGGTGTCCCTCAAAGTATGTTGTCTTAATTTTTTTCTATCTGGTTTAACAAATTTTTTTCTATCTGGTTTAACAAATTTTTTTAAAGACTAGCATTTCTCTCTCTTTATATATAGAACAACTACACCTTTGCCCTTGTACACTTCAAATATTTTATACAACTAATGTATCTGGCATTTAAACTGCATTAACTGGAGCCCCTATGACACCGGATTATAAGAAAAAATTGTTAAACTTAATACTACTAGTACTAGCTAATTCCTACCAACATTGACTACTAAAGTAGTGTAATAAAAGATATTAATGATGAGTATAGCTATTAATCATGGGCTGACTCCTTATGATTTTCGTAATGCAAAGCTCACGTTCATCTTTATACCACAAAGGAACTCCAAAAAACTTCATTTGATGTTTTTCCATTTTCCCATAAGCCAGCAAGAGGTACCAACAATTAAGAAAATAGTATCATATTTTGAATGGTTGGATAATTAGGCAAGTTTTCGGGTCATCACATAAAAGAATCAAGTGAGCTGTGATGTCAACTAGTTAACGATGGAAACCTCTCACAATCATACAAAATTAGATTTCTCCAACATCTTAGGCAATGGTGAAACTCTTCAACACTCACAAAAATACAGATACGCCAAATTTGGGATTCCCTTGAAATTGCTGTTTTCTTCTGGCTTTTGGAGCCCCTTAGATCTAGCTTCTGTAAAGATACTATTCAAAACACACCCAATGATGAATGATGAAAATGAGTAAAGGATAGTTTTTAAAATTAGAAATTGTTTATTTTACTTTACACGAGAACTACTAAATGGGCTTCTTTAAAATTTATCAGAATAAACTTTTGTTGGTGGCTGTGCCCA